AACTACTCAAAGTTGTAATGGAAATGTTGGTGAGGTGGCTCGTGCCGATGCGCGCCCAGATTAAAGGAAGGTGACTGTATCTACCTGACCTTCCTGAACAGAACTTCGCTTCGACCATGTCAGATAGCGGATTACAGCACGTCATGCTCCAACAACATCACGAGAACATGTGTATGAAGTCTGGCTGTGCCTCGAATCGGTCCTTCCGCATGGCCAAGCTCCGCCATTCCCACCTCCTTCCTCATTGGGCCAGCCAAGAGCTCTCCGAACCAATCGTACCTTGCCCGCGCGTAAACACGCTAATCTGCCAAGCAGTTACCAAGCACCCTCGAGTAAATGAAACAACCATCCAGAGCATCGCATCTTCTTCCGACTTCCTTCAATCGTGCCTTCCCGGCGCCTTCAGCAGATCATCATAGAGCTTGGGAAAGCGCACACCTACCTAAACCATGTGTACTGTGATGGCCATTTCGGCGATGAGACACGATGGGCAGGTGGGAGACTGCGTCAAGTGAGCGTGACCAACATAAAAGGTAAGGCTATCCACGATGTTTATCGTGCAACAGCGCGAACCTCATCTCCATCCCCCAAGATGAAGTATATTCTTACCTCCGCGTTGCTCGCCTCCTCTGCCCTTGCTTCGGTCGTCCCAAGAGACAATAAGAAGGTCGACTACAGTGGCTTCAAGCTTCTTCGCTTGGAGAACACCGAAGGCCTCGAGGCTAAGATCGAGGAGCTTTCGGCCCACGTCCTTAACCCCGGCAAGTCTGCTCAGCTCGATGTCGTTGTATCGCCCGATAACGTCGATGCGATAAGCTCGCTGGCGGAGAGCAAGGTCATTAACGATGACGTTGGCGCCATTCTGGCAGAGGAGGGCGAAATGGGCGTATATGCTGGTAAGATCGAGTCTAGCTCTGGGTATACACATCATGTTGACTCGCGAAAGTCCCTAGCGAGAGCTGGTTCACCGCATACCACCCTTACGCGGATCACTTGACATTCCTGCGCGACCTTCAGGCCGGTTACACTGGCAATTCGGAGATCGTCACCTCTGGTTCTTCGGTACAGGGACGTGTCATTACCGGTATCCACATCTGGGGTTCTGGTGGTAAAGGATCGAAGCCCGCAGTGCTCATCCACGGCACAGTCCACGCTCGCGAGTGGATCACTACCATGACCACCGAATACCTTGCCTGGCAGCTGCTCACCAAGTACGCCTCGGATGCGAACATCAAGGCCGTCGTCGACAAGTTCGACTTCTACATCATGCCCATTGTCAACCCTGACGGTTTCGTTTACTCTCAAACAACCGACCGTCTCTGGCGCAAGAACCGCAAGACCATCAGTGGAAACAGCTGCGTCGGCACTGACATCAACCGCAACTGGCCATACAAGTGGGAGCTCACTAACGGTGCCAGCACCAACCCTTGCTCTGAGACATACAAGGGTCAGGCTGCCGGAGATACTCCTGAGAACCGCGGTCTCGTTGCCCAAGTTCAATCGCTGAAGAACTCGCGTGGTATCCGCTTATACCTCGACGTCCACTCCTACGGACAGTACATTCTTTGGTAAGTGACATCTTCAGTATGACGGTTCCAAACGAATCTAACATTTCGGCAGGCCATACGGCTACGACTGCAGTGCCCGCCCCGAGAACGATGCCGCGCACCGCACATTGGCCACAGACGCCGCATCTGCCATCCGCGCTGTCTCGGGTACTGCTTACACTATTGGCCCCAGCTGCTCGACTCTGTACGCTACCACTGGCTCCTCCACTGACTACACGGATGTCACTGGCAACGCGACCTACTCTTACACCTACGAGCTCCGTGACAAGGGCACGTACGGTTTCTCTCTTCCGGCCAACCAAATCCAACCCACTGTCAGGGAGACATGGGCTGGCGTCCTCAGCATGTTCAAGGCTGCTTAAGAAAGTAGGCGGAGTTGTAAATAGCTCCATTATTACAGTTTCTGTATACACGAATGAACAATCATGACCACCCATGAAATACTTAAGTTCGGATTGTGGTATGATACTGAAATGGTAGTCAGCAATCGCAGATGCGGTCAATGCATGGAGTTGGAAAGGCCCACATACACTAGACCCACCCGTGAAAACTCTTCACATTTCGAACAAATCTCACCACGTACCTTGGTCAATGTGAAGAGATCTGATGCAAGAAATTGGTGAAGACTCATTTCCTTGTTGTTATTTTGTTGGAATATAGGCATAACTATACCATCACCTTTCATCAAAACAAGTGAATCACAATTCACCATCGCATCGGTGGTTTAGTGGTAAAATTAGCCGTTGCCATCCTTCACAGGACAACTTCGGCTAGCCCCGGGTTCGATTCCCGGCCGATGCAAGCTTTCTTTTTGTTGTTGCGATGGCTTGGAGTTTAGGGAGGGTGGTGGTGCAGGGCTTATGTGAAGCTGGAAGCAAGCGAAGACGGATGACCGCGACGGGTCGAGCAACACCACCAATCTCACCCGCTCACCAGACTTCATTTTGCCCTTGTTTCAGATTGAAACCGAGTGTTCCAGGTACCAGCCGCTAATGGAACCTGAGCAACGACGTCTCTCACCACTCTAAAGCCCACTCCAGGAACATGGTATCGAACGCGTGGACCGACCATTCACCCGTCTCCAGGTTCTTGGTCAAATTCGTAGCTCGAACTTCGCCTTGGCCTTCTGCAATACTACCCGCCTCAACTACACCATTAGCAACTGGACGTGCGACGTGGTTGTCCCCAGCATCGACGGTGAAGTTTGCCAGAGAGATCTCGAAAGCGTTTCGGTTTGCGACAGTCGGCGTTCCCCAGTACTGAGCTTTGAGCTTGTCTTTGGAGACGTGCAGCTCTGTGTAGCCACGGTAGTAGCCTTCTTGCCATAATAGCTCTTCGTTGTCGCGTATGAAAGCTGCGCTGATCTTTTCTGTCTCCGCGATGGGCCCATCGAGGCCGTTGCTTGTTGTCCCAGTCACTGCGAACTCGACACCGATTGCACCGGCGCCTGTTGCAGGGTCGTACTCCACGCTGTCGAGCCAAACTAGGTCGGACACCCAGTTCTGATGAGAGTCACCGGCCAGCATGATCGTGTTGTCGATTTTGTTGTCGTAGAGGTGCTTCAGCGTTCGATTGCGGCTGGCAACGTAGCCATCCCAGGCATCTACGTCAACAGGAATATCGCGGTCGCCTTCTCCAGTCCTGTTGATATGCGAGAAGATCATCTGGTTGCCGATGATGCGCCATGCTGCACCGCGCTCTTTGGACTCAGATAGTTGGCGGAAGAACCAGTTTTCTTGATGTGAACCCATGATTGAACGGCCGGCGTCGTTGGAGATCTCGTAGACGTATTCGTCATTCCTGGATTTTAGTCAGCACGAGTACCACAGTATTTGCGAAGTGCACTCACCATCCAACCCGTGTAATACTTCGGTCATAGCTACGAGTGTCGAGCATCACTAGATCAAGTAACTTGCCCATTTGGAAGCTTCGCCAGATACGCAGGTTGTCATCCATATCGATCTGTCGCAGAGGCATCCACTCAAAGTACGCTCGAACGGCGTTCATCTTCCTTTGATCGAACGAGATGCCACCGAATTCATTGAATGACTCCTCGGTGTTGTTCATTGTGCTGGATCCGTCTCGCCAGTTGTTGTTGGCGATCTCATGGTCGTCCTGCCAGGCATATCAGTTCAGCCCCTATATTACCAGAGACACTTGACTTACCCAGACTGTGATGAACGGAAACTTCTCGTGAGCTGCTCGCAGATCTTCATCGCTTCGATATTGTGCAATCCTGGTCCTATAGTCGTACAGCGTGACAATCTCCTTTGCAGGAACCATAGCGCGCTCATCTTCGCCCGGAACACCAACCTCATCTTCGTAGATGTAGTCACCGAGGTGCAGCACGTAGTCAACGCTGTCCTTTCGAGCAATGTTGCCGTATGCGTTGAAGTAGCCGAGAGGATAGTTCGCACACGAGAAGACACCCAAACTCAGGGATGACACATCATCCTCCGGAGCAGGTGCGGTCTTTGTCCGCCCAATTGGCGAAGTCGTATCGGTACCGCACACTGTGAACTGGTAGTAGTAGGTAGTGAAGGGACTAAGTCCACTAGCTTCGACCTGTGTCCTGTTAACATACACTGTGATGTGAAGCAAGAAATGTTTAGCTTTCTCACCTTGATGGTGTAGTCAATATCAGACGTGGTGTAGGCTTTACCATGCGATACAATCTGATCGCTCATACTTGAGCTGGAGGATACCTTCCAATCAACACAGATCGGCGACTTCGAGGCCTTGATATAGCGCTCCGTCTCGTGGCTGAAGTACGGCACTGTACCTTTGACAGTCACATTCGAAGCATCATTCTCGAGAACTGGCGAAGCTCTTGTCCACAAAATGACTGATTCGGCGAATGGATCGCCCTGGAACCGTCAGCTTTCATGCTTTGATGCCTGATGGGCACGAGCTTACTGATGCAACACCATGTGTGAACTTGACGTCCTTGGTATGACAGTATGATCCGTCTCGTTTCCGGAGTATTCGCTTCTTGACTTTGTGGGTATTGATACCCAGAGGTGAATGTCTCAAGGAGGGACTGCCGTAGTTGATGTTTCCATCCCAACTTGCAGCTGCAATGACTGTGTAAGCTGCGAAAACAAGGCTTTGGATTAACATAATTGCGATTCTTGGGCTATTCAGAGCATAAGAGGAGAACGATAAAGAAAAGAGTAGACATTGTTGAACAGATCCTGGACGAACATATACTGCAGTACTACGCTTGAACTGAGAGCCCTGCAGCACAACCCTCTACAGTTCACATTGTAGCATATACATGTGGTCAATAAACCAATCGTGATTGGCAGGCGGACAACAACAAGCACAGAAAACGTGTGCTTGACATGGATGTGGATCCCAAAAGGGAAGATAGCGATAGGATCATATGCGAACTAAGGGCGTTCCGCTGCCTTGGCCAACTTGGCGGAGCGGGATGTGTGGATATTACCTCTCGATCTCGAAGCACGTGGAAGAGAGCGCTCTTGAAGAGCAGCCCCGCAAAGCGGGCAAGACGTGAGTAGAATATCAGAATACCGCTGCAAGTATGCTGGACTCACACGTGTAGAGAAGGTCAAAGAGTGGGGGGCTTGAAATCATGTGCGGGGACCAAGAAAGCACTTGTGTGTGTCGAGTGGCTAGTAAAATGAGATCTTGACTATACATCGAAATGCCTCTTCGGGAGAAGGAAGTAGGTCTTCTGATATATGTTGCTCTGCACCGACGAGGTCATCCTTAGTCCCCATGGACGTGGCTGGCGATGTGCTCGGCCATGCGCTCCGGACTTTGACACAAGCAGCAGATGGCTTGGAACGAGGACATACATCTGACGATACAGTTCAATGGCTTCGAAATGATGATCGCAATTGTCATGGTGATGGGGTAGGAAGGTGGAGTTCGAATGCTCGCCTGTCGAGGTGGCTGGCTCTGCACAGACCGCGTGATGTCATCGCATCTCGCGTTTTCCACCTTCACCTTCGAAATCAACCCAGCGTATTTGTCTGATCTCCAACTCGTGCTTTAAAGTACTCCTCATTGTTGCTTCTATCACGGCGGAAGTCATGTTACTGAAACAGGCAACTATTCGTCACTCTACCGTGATATTCATTCCACTTACCAGTTAGCGTTGTGATACCACGTTACCCAGAACAGCACGTACGCTACCGCAGCTGTAGGAGTACTGGACGCCTGGACGTCGACCCTGAAGCTCATAGACGGAAAGAGCCTGGTCTAGTGGAACTTTCGTCGTAGCCTCAAGGACACGATACGATTTGCTCGTCTTGGTGCAGCGTTGAATCATTTCTATTTTTTTTTAATGTGCCTTGTGAGAGCGATGAAAGGCTTGTTAAAAAGTGCGTCTGGCGCACATCTGCCCGCACAGGATAGCAGTGTTGAAGGTGATGGAGTGTGCCAAGAAACCTCATATTGTTATAAGCTGAGTGAAAGGAGGGACGTAACTTGTTATGACCTCAGCTTCGCATGTCTTTGGTTTGGTCACGCCTAAGGCTCATCGCAGTGCTTTGTCCGCCGTGGTAGTATGGTAGCAACAACGTCATGGGGGTGCAATGTGCAGTAGTGGCAATGGCAGAGTAGGTGAGCATCAGGTAGGCTGACAAAGTCATATCGGTAGAAAGAGCCATCTAGCATGTCCAGGTCTATTCATTAGCCCTTGATGTGGTAGAGAGTCATCTGCTGGCTCTATAGGGATTGAAAAAAAGCATGCTATCAGTGGCTAGGAGCACAGGCGTTGAGGTTCCAACAGTGCGTGTAGCTCATCGTGCTCGTCGAACCGTGTGTAATATGGGCATGAGACCGTTTACCGTCCAAATGAAGGGTTGGGCGCACCAACCCCTGACTCTTTGGGGGGAAGGGGGGTTCCGAAAAGGACGTCAGAGCGAGTCGGGGGCCAATTGTGTGTAGAACAAGGAGTGCAGTGCGATGACCTGTTGTTGTAAGCAACTTCAATGCTGAACACGGGAGCACGAAGGCCGATAGTTTTGTTCATGATCGTGCCATTTCTTTGTGTGAAACCCTGTAGACTCCATGATCGTTACAGGACAGGTATCCGAAAGCTCCTACAAGCCATTTCATTCGTATGATGGCTGCTGATGCAGAGAAACACGCTCGAAGAACTCCACCATCCCAGTGTCCAATGTTCCCTTAAACCTCAGCAATCTCGCGGAGACGACGGATGGTCGACCTTGTGGCGGCGGCGGCGGGGGTACTGCGGGCGCGTGTTAGCCTTATTCCTTCTGTCTTGCGTTGCGCAATCCAATTCTTCGTATCGAGATGTAATATGTGCGGTGCGGTGCGGGAATTCTTACGCGACGGTGTAAGCACCACCAGCGGTGGTCTTACGGCAGGAGCGGCAGTTCCAGATACCGACAGCCTGGCGCTTGACAGCGTTCTTGCCGCAGAACTGGCACACGTAGCGGGCGTGCTGTGTGACCTAGGGAGAGCATCAACATTTCGTCCTTCAGGCGCGGCAGGTTCCAGGTGTGTACGCACTTCCATCTTCTTGACCTGCTTACGGAGCGAGGCACCGTAACGGGTACCGTACTTTCCGGTGATGCCGACCTTCTTAGTGCCTACATCGCAATCAACATCGTCTTCTTCATCGCTCGAGCAGTTGGGGCAGCCGTACGCTTGGTCATTTTGGCGGTGTTGTGGGTTGACTGGTGGGTTGACAAAGTCGAAAGTTCTGTGGTCGCTCAATTTCGATCGTGTGGGCAGCAGCTTAGCGGAATCCTTGGCGGCGCTTTACCGAGTTAGGTGCGTCTTCCTGACGGATCAACCCTCACCGACCTAAGCGAGCGCTGGGATGCATCATAATCATCACAACACCAATCTTGAAGAACCAGATCGATGATGGAGGTTCCGTGTCGAGAAGATTTGCTTGGTCTGCAAGATGCATGCATGCTCAGTGCCCCACTGCACAAAGTGAGACACTTTGCTTGTGCGGCAGGCGCACTGGTTACGAGGTCATTCATGAAAATGTCTGAGTACCATCTTCTTGCGACGGAGTGCGACTGGAGTATTTGAAAATCTCGTGAATTTGATTTGATCCAACATGGTAGGGGTATATCTATTCTAAACAACCTCCCACGTGGCAAGTCTGCCTACAGTTCGTCCAGGCTCCCTGACAATGCAGATGCGATCCTCCTTTTGTACGGCTTTGTCTCCAGGAATGCAAAGAACCCTATGCAAAGCAAGATTGGCAACAGCAGTCGGCATACCCTCAGCCAGGTTGTAGTTGCCAGTTGTAACAAAGCCAATCAGATCTTCCTCGTCTGGAACCAAAGGGTAATCGTCTTCTGCTGGTGTTGGAGCGTCCTTCGGTGCCGGTGGTTCTAACAGACTGCTAGCGAGCTCTCTTCGCCGCAGGTGCTCAGAAACATCGTCACCGCTACGAGTCTGCTGTCTCCTTGGTACGCCGTTCGTCTTCGACTTAGGGCCTGGCACCAGAGATAGCCATTTGTTGCGCAGCTCAGGATTGTTCGTTGGCAAACGGTAAACTCGAGAGCAGTCAACAGGATACCCTCGTCCCACCACTATGATCTTGACAGTGAAGAGATATGGTACTTCAGGCTCAATAGCGGGGTCCTGAAGAAGCTTGGTCGCTTGAGCAGAAGAAAGCTGACGGAATGGAGTGACCACCTTCTCGGACTCGTCCTGCGCTGCAGTAGGCTCTGCAGGTGCATTCGGTAGCAGGCGCGCCCACTCGCAGGCCCACGGGTCGCCAATCTCACCCTTCCTCCCGTTGCCGAGATCGATCGTGGACCATTCGATTCTCTTGCCTTTTGGCCGCTTCGTCCATTCGTGCTTCCTCACGTCTTGTTGCTTCAGCTCCCACGATGAACCGGCATCAGTGGCAGGGCAGTCATGTGGGAAGCTTGGCACTGAACGTTCGAACGTAACCTGCCGCCTCTCCTTCAAGCCGCCAAAGCGAGGGTTGCCACCAGTAGACACTGGGTACCGCATAATGCCTCGCCATACGGGCATGACGCACTTCCAGGGAAGGAGAACTGTCCAAGATTTGCTCTCTCGAGAGACGTAGATTAGCATTGGGATCGATGGGTCGGTTGGTCTTGGCTCTGGATATCTGCCTAGTGTATTCGCACTCTGTCGTCTGTTGATCGACTTCTGCGACGGCAGTGTCCTTTGACCGGTAAGTCGAGCGGTACGGCTGAAAATGGATGACGAGGCTTGCGTGCTGTCGATGGGCCAAGCTGCGAGTGTCTCGATCAGAGAAGAGGGATCCTGGTGTATCGTCGATGGCGTAGGAGGGTCTCGCAGGCGAGGATCTGAGATGTCGAATGCGAGCAATGCACCAGCTGGCAGCACACCAGGATCTGTTACTGAAGCGAGCGTAGACCATAGTGATTGAGGTGCATCAGGTGCAGCATCAGAAGGAGATGGATGCAGTATCGAGCAGAGCGTCTCTGCCGCTGCAGGTCCCATGATCTCAATAGAGCCAACCTCGAATCGAAGGTCTTCAACAATGACCGCTGGCTTCTGGACCTTCGAGATGCGAACGACCTCATTCCATACTTGCAGAAACGCACTTGGGTGCACTCGGGCAAAGGCTCTCCTCTTCTTGCCATCCACTTCAGGCGCGCACCAGATGACAGTCACATGCGCAATTCGCTTCAGAGGTCTCGTGTCTCTCTCGTGCAGCCAGCCTTCCCAAGCTCTTGTACCTTGTCTCCACTTCTTCGCCTTGCCTCGCCTTTGCCATGGATCTTCAGCATCTTCGGCGCCAAAACGTAACCCTCTCAGCAGCCCAACGATGCTGTCTTCCACGCCCTCAAGCCCAATTGTCGACATGTAGCTCATATCCCAAGCGATGGCTCCGCGCTGCGCAGCAGTTCGATGGGTCAGACGGTATGCCTTCACGACGGGCGCAAGTGGGATCGCAAATCGCCAGAGGGGATCTTTCGGTTCCGTCATACGTGCACGCTTTGTGTGCCATATGTGCGTTGGTAGCCATGTCTTGTCTCGTTGGCGTCTGCGAAATCGCGATGGGGGCGTGGCCGGCGTGGCTAGGGATGGAAACCTAGGCTTCGTCTTCGGTTTCGGCACAGCTTTGAAGGCCTCCCTCGTTCCCTGCTCTGTCCCTGTCTGCTCACTGCCTTTCTCCTCTGCCTTCTTTTGCTCTCTCTGCTTCCACACTTGTTTGCTCTTCTCGATGCCCTCCTTCCTGAGATACTTCTTCTTTCCCTTACCAATGCCACTGCCGCTTGTGCCTCGTGTTATCGGCGTGTTATCTTCCTTAGCTTCCTGCCGCGCTCGTCTTCTCAGCCGTTTTGGTACACGGTTTGGGTTGTGGCTTGCAGTCCTTCTGCGCAACTCTCTGGGCACATCTTGAAACGCTCTTCTCGATAGACCCTTCTTTGCTGCTATCATCGCCCCCTCCAGAGATTTAATCTCATTTTCATGCGACTTGAGGAAGTTCTTGACATTGACCTCGCCATTGGGGTACGCGTTTCTCGTTGATATTGTAGGGATGTTATGCGCGGGCTTCTGGGGAAAGCGCGCGCGTTTTGCACGCGGCGCACTGTCTGACGTCTGCTTCCTCTTCTTTGAAGCGTCGGCCATGGTTCCTCGATCAGTGTGGAGCAGTGAGGAATGGCGACGCCGTGACAGCCAACGGCTGCAATTGTTTCGGGACTTTTTGACAACTAGCGAGTCATAGCTCCCGTTGCCGGCTTAGCGCATTCGCGTCTGCACGTGCATTCACCGTTCATCCGGTGCACAACTTCCAAACAAACAACTTCGGTAAACTTTCCCACGCCTAAATCGTGATAATGCAGGGCCACTGGTAACCATGTGTTTCAGAACGACTGCCCTATCACGAGAGCTAATGCGAATAGCGCATCACACGATGTTCATCTCGGCTTTGGCACTGGAATCCACTCCACTTGCCCCTGGCAACCTGCAGGCCCTCCCTGCAGCTGCGCCTCGGCCAACCCTGGGACCTTGTCTAAGACAGCCTTTCTCTTGCGCGCAATCATAGCATTCTTTCTTCATAACACGCTGGTCATTCTTACACACAACAATACCTTGGTCTTGCTTCGTACTTGATACCCCTCGAAGCAGACAAGCACGCATTCAAGATGATGTCCTACACACCCCTTCCAGAACCCTCTCCATATATGTTGCGTATGCAATTTAGTCCACAGCGAAAACGTCCTACCCACGGCCGCACCGAATCTGAATTCATCCCACGACCCCTCAGTATCATGCCAATGTCACCCAGCAAACGATCGTCTGTTTACGTTTCCGAAGCATCAACACTGCTCTCACGTCGCAATTCTGTCGTCTCTCCCGTAGGACGGTCACCCTACGATTCTCTATTCTCGCCTACCAGCGACCCATCGAGACTGTTGTCTCCAGAGCCCGCCGAATTCGTCGACCACTATGCCATCCTCGAAGTAGGGTCTGAGGCCACAGTAGACGAGATTAAAGCCGCATTCCGCCGTTTACGAGTAGCATACTTCCAGAGCGATGCAAAGAAGTACCGCGCATTGACAGCTGCGATGGAGCTGATGGCAGACGAGGAGCTACGGGCAGAGTACGACGAGATCTACCGCGCACGAGTCGGAGGTGCATCAACACCCATAACACCATATTCAAGCCTACCAGCTGGACTGGAGTCACCAAAACACGGGAGGAAGGACAGTGGACACAGCGCCGGCAGCTTGCAGGAGGATGTAAATATAATGCCTGTCCCAGAAGAGATTCCAGAAGAAGAAGAAGAGGAAGAGGAGGAAGAACCACAACAGCACATTCACGAAGACACACGAACTGACGACCCCAACTGGGCGCTCAAGCGCCACCACCGCGTATTCGCCAATTACGAACCCTTCTACGGCACCGAGCCTTACGATTCCTTTGTTCCTGTTTTGACGGCCTACGAGACTTACTCGAGGCACCCGCGACTGCGATGTAGACGACCCAGCTACCTAGGTGACGGGCTAGCTCGGAATGCCATGCCCTACTAAAGTTTATTTCTGGTGTTGGTGTTGGTGTTGTGTAGGTAGAGTAGAATGGCGTCAGGGGTCATCCATGTCTGTTGCATAGTTGTCGCATTATAGCGTTGAATACTATTACTCATTGTTGACTTGGATACGTAGACTAGTTGACTTGACAACACCGAGAACTTCGGGCATCAATGTGGCAGTGGCTAACGGATGGATGACGTTGACCAACGAGCATAGCAACGTGCGAAAACTTTACCACGAGCGGCTAAAGAGCGGTGAGATGTGTAGATTGAAGATGCCGATTGTTGGCCGTTGATTCTACAGAATTCGTTGTATTCACGGGGTGCAGCACTGTGCTATTAATGCGTACGAAAAGATAGTAATATAGCGTGGACTCCATAAAGATCGTACAATGCCATAGCGGCTCAATAAAGTTCTCTCATCATAACAGGTAGACATGCGCTAGCCACGCAGCCCTTCAACCTCAACCGCCTCCATCGACAAACATTACAACTCGATGTTCTCCTCAGCAAAAGGCTCAAGGCGCTGCTTGAACTCCTCAACGCTAAGCTCCTCGCCCTGCCACATGACCTGCTCGCCGTTGGCGTTCTTGGGTGGGATCAGGACATCAGAGACGACCTGGATGACACCATCGTTGGCAACACCGTCGTGCACAGTGACGCGCGAGAAGCCATTGATGCGGATCGACACAAACGGTCCGTACCTGGCGACATCGACAGCAAGGTACTTGTCGTCAAGCACGGTGGGCAAGTCGTAGTGGTAGTATGGCGGGCGGTCAGCAGCCTTCTCATCATCATGCCTCTTGCTGGCATCGTAGAAGGCATCGGTGTAGAGTGTCTGGTTAACAACGATGTGGTACTTGAGCAGAGCCTTCAAGTACTTCTGGCCGTAGGTGCTGAAGAGGAAGGCATTGACCTTGGGGCCGAGCTTCTGGAAGGCGAAGTTGGAGGGGGCGAAGAAAGTGCCCCCCTCGTGGGGGTAGTCGGTGTTGTTGATCTTCTCGAACAAGCCGGTCTTCTGGAGAGCGAGCTCGAGGGTGCTGAACTCGCCGGGGAGGAGCTCGATGATAGATGCAACCTTGGGGGGAGGGACAAGGATTGAGTCGACACCGTGAACGACACCGTTGGTGCCGAAAATGTTGACTGCGACCAACTTGCTGTAGAAGTTGATGGTGGGGCCCTTGAGGGTGACGCGGACAGTCAGACGCTGCTTGTGGCCAAGCTTCTCGGGCTCGAAGAGAGTCGGGATGGTGTAGCTGTGGAGCACACGGCCAGCAGGGTAGAAGTCAGGGCTGACGTGGTACAGAAGGATGTCCTTGAGAACCTCCTTTGAGGGGTGCTTTCCATGGTCGGGGATCTTCTCGAAAGCCTCATCCGTAGGGGCAAAGATGGTGTAGTTGGCCTTAGTGCTGTTGAGCGTCTCAACGAGGTCATCATACTTATTGATCAGCTTAGCAAGCTTGGTGGTGTACTTGCTCTCGTTGATGAGCTCGTAGACTGTCCTGTTAGGCTTGTCATCACCATCATGAGGCGGGTGGTGAGGTCCACCGTGGTGGGGAGGGCCGTGATGAGGTGGCCCATCGTGGGGTGGGTGGTGAGGATGGTGTTCATCACCGCCACCAAAGTTGATGATAGCGTCGTCGAATGATGAGCCTTCTAACCACAACTCAACATTGGCACCAGCGTCGTAGATCCGGCTGGAGATGTCCTGTGCGCTCTCCTTGACCTTGTTGAGGGTGTCATCGAGGATATCTTGAGCATTGTCGAGGAGCTCGTTCCCTGACAGCTTCGCATTCTCAATATGCCTGTTGGACTTGGCTAGCTTCTCGAAGACCTCAGCTTCGGTGATCACCAAGGCCGAAGCCAATGGGATGAATGGTACCACGCGAGAGAAACGCATAATGTCTGGTACTGAAGATTGATGGGGAATGCAGGGAAACAAAGAAAGAAGTAAGATGAACCTCCTAGCGACTAAAATGCAAGACGAGTTGATTACACCACCACGCGTGGCAATGGCGGAGCTTCGGTAGTGAATCAACCGCCGATGATGACAGTGGGGCAGACGAATCAGATCAGGTCAGTACGACGTGATTATTCTTTAAACTTAAAAGAGGCTTGATAATTGGAAGGCTACGATCGAAGCGAGAGCAAGCTATAACCAAAACTCCAGATACTTCGTGAATACTTGCTCGCAAACGCTGAAGCCGCGTACTTTGACAGCCAGGCAGCCATTTGGGACGCGTGTACAGACGCGGGGCCGAGCTGTCAAGTTGTCGACGACAACCGATGACGCAACTGGCGCGGTTGTTGTTACCATGTCAGCCTCGGCGCGGGGTACGCTGAGACAAACTTGAGACTGCAAGGGGTTAATGAATAGACGTCAGATCTAGTTGATATGAAGATCGATAGTAGAACAGAAGAGTGTGAGAATAGCTGATGTTAGACACAGCTGTCTTTTCTGGTCACGTGATAGCCTTTTTTGGTTCCTTCTAAGGCCGAATGCTTGCCTTAGGCATCTGCACGTCGCTTACTCACAGCCGGGAGAACCTTTTCGAGTCTATGCAGAGCATTTCGTCATCCGTCTTTTACACGTTTGCGTGGTGAAGCCAGGTGTTGTGTGTTGTCTGGAAGCATCGTCATTCTTGCGCTATTTTCTCCAGACAATTGCGATGCTGTGGGCCTCCGGAAACAACGCGCAGTTCCACCCGCTGCTGCCATTGGATGTTCAACGTTCGTGCCTTGCCGGGCTCCAGTTTGCTCATTGAGTGTGGAGAGTGCTCCGTAGCCCCATCTCCAGGTGAAACAAGCTTTTTACAAACTTCGATCAAGCTTTTTAGGGGTGTCTGATTGCATCGTTGGTAATGCTGCGGAGGGGCCCGGAGACGTGTGCAGTACGACTGCTACATGAATTATCGCGCCATGTCGTCATGGTAGGTTGCGTATATACTGAAGCAGGTATCTGCTTTGGAGATTACAACGACCTAACTCCTACACACAACTAGTATTACCATACCGAACTCTATACACAATGCCTCTTGCACGACACGTCGATCCCGATGAGCTTATCGAGACTCTGAAGGATCACCCACTCCACAAGGCTGGTGCTCACAAGCGAGGAGTCAGCCATACTACTCCGTATTCGAGCAGATATGCGGCCAGTGTCGAGCTATCCAAGTACAAGATCCCTCAGGATGGTGCACCAGCAGACACTGTCCACCAGCTGCTCAAGGATGAGCTTGATTTGGATGGGCGGCCCAGCTTGAACTTGGCCTCGTTCGTGGGAACGTACATGGAGCGTGAAGCTGAGGCGCTGATGATCGAGAACATCTCGAAGAACATGTCGGATGCGGATGAATACCCTGCGATGATGGACATGCACGCACGCTGTATCTCGATCATTGCTCACCTTTGGGGCGTTCAGAAGGGTGAGAAGGCCATTGGGTCCGCCACAACAGGTTCCAGTGAGGCTATTCACCTTGGTGGATTGGCCATGAAGAGACGCTGGCAGGAGAAGCGTATGGCTGAAGGCAAGGACACATCGAAGCCCAACATCATCATGGGCGCCAACGCACAGGTTGCTCTCGAAAAGGTATGTACGGTGTTATTTTGGGAATTTTTTGCTAACTGATTGAAGTTTGCTCGCTATTTCGAGGTAGAGGCGAGGATTTTGCCCGTCTCCGAGGATTCATCGTACCGTTTGGACCCTGAGCTGGTTAAGAAGAATATCGATGAGAACACCATTGGTATCTTTGTGATTCTGGGTAGCACATACACGGGTCACTACGAACCGGTAGAAGAGATCCACGATATTCTAGACGCTTACGAGAAAGAGACCGGCAACGACATTCCCATCCACGTCGATGCTGCATCTGGTGGTTTCATTGCACCTTTTACAAACGCGAAGGCTGGCAAGAAATGGAACTTTGAGCTTCCTCGCGTCAAGTCTATCAACACCAGTGGTCACAAGTTTGGTCTCGTCTACGCTGGTGTTGGTTGGATTATCTGGAGAGACGAGAGCTACTTGCCAAAGCACTTGGTTTTCGAGCTGCATTACCTTGGTGGCACAGAGGAGTCGTACACACTCAACTTCTCCCGACCGGGTGCGCAAATAATTGCGCAGTATTGTAGGTCACACGATCCTTCTGTACGACAGCGAGACTAATCTGACTAGACAACCTGATCCATTTGGGTTTCAATGGATTCCGCAGCATCATGGAGAACACACTCGCCAACGCACGCTTGTTGAGCAGGGCTTTAGAGCACACCGGTTGGTTCCGCTGTGTTAGCGACATTCACCGGAAGAAGGGAGACTTCAAGTTTGAGAAGGGCAAGAAGCAGTACGACGAGGGAGAGAACAGCGCAGCTTACAACGCTGGCCTCCCTGTAGTTGCATTCACCCTCGCAGACGACTTCAAGAAGGACTACCCCCACGTGAAGCAGGATTCCATCAGCAACCTGCTGCGCGCTAAGCAATACATTATCCCGAGTGAGTGTAGCTTTAACGGTTTGGCGTACTGTGACTGACACGTGTAGACTACCCGCTGCCACCAAACGAGGAGAAGACCGAGATCCTACGAGTCGTTGTACGCGAGAGCTTGTCTCTGGACATGATCGATCGATTGGTGACTGATATCTGCCAAGTCATGGAGCAACTGATGGTACGATTTTCCCCACATATACCATGTCAGGGCAGCTTACTCACACTCTCACAGAACACGGATGTAACCGACCTCGCAGCCTGGCAACCATCGAATCCCAGTGCGGAGAAAACACACGCGTCTCTTGGACATCGGGCTCACAACAGGCACAAAGCTAAGAGGCCTATGCACGAGGGTGTGCACCGATCTGTGTGTTAGCGAGCTTTACCGTTCCAAGGTTTGACGCACTCATGCAAGTGATCGAGTAAAGACAAAACCCATGCAATCCTGAAAAAGAAACTTGTACCCATGCAAATCGTGATCTTGTGCTTTGGAAAGGTGATCTTGTACCACTCATTGTCAAAGGGTAGGTCAAAACTCATCTTCTTTGATTGCTGGCCACACAATACCCGTCATTCACAGCTGAATGTAGCCATTTTATCTGCAGATCCGGCACGAATCTGTCCGAGGGCGTGGGCCGACAGGCGAAAATGTCAAGCAGATTGCACTCCAGCCTGCCGGATACACCGATACGAGGGATAGCCGCGAGTGTTGTTCCTGCATGGGTGCGTTGCACGCAATCTGTTCCGACAATCAAGGGATCGCGAGATCTGTGGCGGTCCATACACATCATTGGTTGTGTTGGGCCACTTGGCACCCCAGAGATCTAGATGCTCCTGTGCGACGAGGCTTCTGCAGGCGTGGCGCATCGGTACATTAGTCAAGCTCCTCGCGATCTCAAGCTCGCTTTCATGACAGCACGACCATCGCCACGAGGAACTCCCACCACCTCTCGGCCCGTCCCAAACTCGCTCTTGCGTGCGTCCCTGCAGTGGTTGCTGGCCAATGACGCGCACGTGTTCTGACAGGGCTTACGTCATAATCCTGGCCCAAGATGCTGCGGCAAGCATCATCAGCCTTGAAACGGATCTCCTCAGTCCCATACATCTGCACTCCGGGCTGAGGCATCTTGATTAGCTGACAGATGACATATTAGAGTTTCTTCTAGTGCCAGCGGCCTCGTGCCCTAGAATTTTTGGTGGAACACAGCTCGGCTCTCACCGTCGTGTCATGACGCATCGTGGGGCTCTAAGTTTCCCGAAGGCACTCTTTTGCCTGTGGCCACCGCTATGAACGATCACAATCTCGATTGCTAGGAGTCGATTCGTCAATGAATCGCTTCTCGTTGATGTTACGACGCAGCAGTTCCTGGCCGCTGTGCAACCTCTGCAACATTTCTCTCTGCTCTTCGTGTTCCCGTCGGCCTCTTTACACAGCTAGCGATAATCTGATCATGTCCAACGAACAACCGCGTATTCTGCTTTACATCCTGCGTCGCGATGTTCGCCTTTCAGACAACCCAGTATTCACAGCTGCTTCACGGCATGTTACACGGCAACAAGACTTGACATCACCGCCCAACTCAGACGCCCGCACAAGAGATGATTCGTTAACTTCCGAGCATCGTGGCACCTCCTTCACACATTTGCTGCCTGTCTACGTCTTCCCCGCACATCAAGTCGAAGTATCTGGCTTCCTCCCCTCTCCATCAGAGCAATCGCCGTATCCAGAAGCACGCAGCCAAATCGCGAAAATATGGCGTACCGGACCTCACCGCGCAAGATTTATGGCTGAGGGAGCTTGGGACTTGAAGCAAACGCTTGAGGGTCTAGGATGTGGTTCCGGATTACAAATCAGAGTTGGTATGATTGGGGACGTCGTCAAGAATATCCTCGAATATTACTCAAAAAGTGACGATTCAAAAGGCGAAATTTCTGGGGTCTGGATGACAGCAGACGAGTCGGTGGAGGAGAAGGAAGAGGAGGCGGCTGTGAAAGGGATTGCGGAACAGAATGGAGTCGACTTCAAGTTATGGGACGACGAGAAGTATTACATTGACAAGTATGTTCCTTCCGCACTTGCTCCTCTTGAACTCGAATCTAACGCGTCATAGTCGCGACCTTCCTTTCGACAATATCTCTCAACTTCCCAACATCTACACATCCTTCCGAAAGTCCGTCGAACCATTACGAGACCAACCTCGCAATACCCTACCAGCACCTACACAATTACCACCGCTACCACCCGATGTTCCTCCTCAACAATCACCCTTCAACATACCTACAAACCTCGATGATCTGTTGAAAGCGCTCTTGGCTCCCTTCGCGAAAGATCCTACATTCGGCTTGGCAGTGCCTCCCAAGTGGCCTGGTGGCAATGTCGAGTCAGCACATCCCTTCACAGGAGGCGAGTCCCACGCGCAGGATCGCATATCATTTCTCATCTCTAGTGGAGCTATGAGCTCATACAAAGCCACACGTAATGGCATGCTAGGACGCGACTTCAGCACCAAACTTTCCGCTTACCTCGCACAAGGGCATTGCACGGCACGGCAAGTGCACTGGGCGATGATGGACTTTGAGGAAGGCAGAGGAGCCGGTAAAGGCAAAGAAGGGTACGGAGAAGGCGAGAACGATGGAACAGCAGCTGTTCGTTTTGAACTGCTGTGGCGAGACTATATGCATCTGTGCATGAGAAAGTTCGGTCCAGCAATGTTTCAGCTCTACGGCATCCGGCCGCAGGAAAGCAAGAACAACAAGACTCCACCTCCACCAAAGAGCTGGCGGCGGCTCGACAAGCCAACACCAGGTAAAGACCTCCAAAGCATTGAGATATTCGGCCGCTTCCGCTCCGGACGGACAGGCGTCGGCCTCATCGACGCTTCAAATCGCGAACTATTCCTCACAGGCTACACATCGAATCGCGCACGGCAAAACGTTGCTTCCTTCCTTGCATCCCACCTTGAGATGGACTGGCGCGTCGGCGCAGAATGGTACGAGTGCATGCTTACAGACTATGACGTACCGAGTAATTGGGGCAATTGGCAATACGTGTCTGGTGTAGGAAACGACCCAAGGCAAGGGCGTGTCTTCAACCCTGTAAAGCAGGCGCTGGATTATGATCCGCAAGGCGAATACATCAAGGCATGGGTTCCGGAGTTACGGGATGTCAAGTTGACAAAACAAGTTGGACCGCAAGGAAGAGAGGAGATCGACAAACAGCGACTGATGGGTTTATACCAAGCGAATAAGCTCTCAGAGTGGGAGAAAGAAAGGTTGGGGTTGAAAGGGGTCGAGTGGGTCGAGAGACCACTCGTGAACATCAATTTTTCCGTTGGACGCGGGCGAGGTGGTCCAGGACGTGGAGGCACACGACTTAGTAGAGGCGGCGGCGGTGGCGGTGGTGGTGGTGGAGGACCAGGTAGAGGAGGAAACCGAGGAGGCCAATATCAACAGCACCGAGAGTACAGGAGAGGTGCTAATGAGGAGAAACAGCACGTGGCAAACGGCCCGACAATTGTTAGCAGTCAATGATTCAGGGGTTTGGTTGAAAGTCGGCGATCACGGTGCTCTGGTGTTGGTATCTTTAGCGTGAGATTTACGAGTGATACGATAAAGGGTCGTCTTGAACATGCGGCGAATGCATCAAATTTCTGATCTTACGTCTTATGTTGCTTTCTCCACATATCTAAGCCAGCTTTACTTGTCCTCTAGGAGACGTACGTGCATCTCTATATCACCTTAACTAATCGCATCCGGCACCTAAGTCTTGCTCTTGCCCTCAGTGTTGTACCCATTTATACCGCACCAGGCACATCCCACACCTTCGCAAACGGATCCCTGTGCGGGTCAGTCCACCTCTCATACTCCATACTATTCGCCACAAAATCCGCAACCTCCTCGCCATAGATCTTCCCTACCCAAGCCATCGTCACATCAATACCAGCAGAAATGCCACTCGAAGTAAAGATATTGCCATCTTCAACCCACCGCGCCGACGGCACCCATGTGACATTGGGCCCTGTGGAGGTAGCCCATAGCCAGGAGCGCTTGTTGGTGGTGGCTTTCTTGCCGTCAAGAATCCCGGCGCGGGAGAGGACGGTGGCGCCGGTGCAGATGGAGATTATGTACTTCAGCTTTGGGAAGTAGTCAGTATTGTCATTCTTAGTTTGGGAGATCGTGCGAAAGTAAGAACGTACCTTGGGGTAGACCTCTTTCACGAATGCGATTTCTTCGGTCATGTTCTGCCTTGTGCCGCCACCACCGGGGACGAGGAGGACTTCGATGTCTTTATCCACTGACGTAGTGTGGTTTGTTGGGGCAGGATGACTCTTCTCCTTGCCGAGGATGTTGGCAAACGTGTTGGTCGGGAGGATCTCTTCACCGAAGTTGCTTTTGCCGTTTATGTCCTTGATCGTGGTGCTTACTGGGTCCATGGTCTTGCTGAGTAGGGTGAGAGTCATGGCTGTTTTGTTGCTGTAGAGCATGGAGAGGGTATTGAGCACGTCTAGTGGGCCGAAGACGTCCAGCGCCTGGAAGCGCGGAAGCAGTAGCATGGCGAAATGGGTAGGTAGTTCGGTGGTGTTGGTGAATTCTGGCTGCTGTGGTGCTGCAAATGCTGAGGGGAGAGCCGCAAAGAGCGGCATCAAGGTTGAGACGCGCATTTTGGTCGAACAGACAATGACCCAAAGAAAGCTGCGATGATAATGAGAGAGTAATGTGTAGGCAAACGAGGCTGTTTGTATGACTGAAGCCTACCTCAGGTGTTACCGCTGCTTCTTATACCCAGATGCACAATAGATGAAATGAACAATTTAACGACCGCCTCCGGGAGCAAATTTCGACTCCACTTTGCAGCGTGACCTTCAATCAATCTACGGCTATTGAGGCATAGCCTCATGGAGTAGGAATGCAAGTCCAGTGAGCAAGTTGTAGGTCATGAAACAAGCGCATCGAAATGATGTCTTGGTTGGAGGCCCTGATCAGGACATGCCACATTTTCGTGGCTTACGAGCCAATCTTCGAAGCATGTTCGATGGCCATGTATACCTCTAGCAGTTGTTACCGAACCGGATTGTCGAACTTGCACGCGCGTGAGACAGTTTCTCGCATGTGTTCAGTATGAGTGTGTAAGCTGAATAGATGAGTTCGAGCTCTCGGAGTCGCTTGCCATATTGGCCAAGATGTAAGCCAAGATGTAAGCCAAGATGTAAGCCAAGGCATGCGGTGTAGTTGGCAAGGGTGCGATCACCTTGTTGGCCGAAGAAACGCAGGTCGCTGTTCTGGGTATTCCGGCCTTCTCGTTGCTGTCAATAAAACCCCTGTTTTATCTTGGCTTCGAGGTGTCTGGTGAATGTTCGATTGAGTCTTCGAAGTACAATGCCGAGGACTCTAAGTGGCCGTGCAACGGGTTAACGCCGCAGACGTGCAGCAATTCCGGCACTTCATGATGCTGGTACTTGATCAAGAGTTTCTTTCGGGTATTCCTACGGACATCGATGGGTTGTTGAGCAGGTTCCTGGCTTTGCTGATTTCGCGACGCAGATGTACGTTACCTGCCCGGCTGAGTCTCGGGTTACATGTAACCTACCAGCCTTGCAGAGGCATGTCATAATTACCACCACGGGGGTAGACATCAGTCTTCAGAGCATCGTGCTCAATAGGGCAGTCAATCACAATCTTCTACCTCGTGAAGGAGCGCTGTTGCAGACATTACTGCCCAGAAACGATAGAGCGGCAGCCAATAGGAGCACCGGTGGATGCAAGCAACGACAGCTACCATTCGCAACCGTTGCCCTGGAAAGAGAGAGCATGGGTGAAAGAAACGTGACAGGTGATGGCATCTGTTCCAGAAGATATCCATTGTGATGAATGACGAATGGCATCTCTTGAACGTCGAGGCAGGGCGCGGGTTCCTGCCGTTGCCGACAGGCCGAGAGCTCAGCTGGGGCAAGCGCGGGTATGACGAAATCTGGAGCGCACGCGTATCTTGTCTTTTCACCTGTTGCTTCAACCTTCACTTTCGCCAGCTGCACCACCGCTCTGATTCTGGCCTCTTGACGCATGCAGTAACTGCAGTGAATAGCCCTGCCTCTACGAGGTACCCCGTACATACCCAGACCTCGGCCGATCTTGTGCGCCCCGCCATGAGCGGAAGACGGCCGCCCATCGACAAGCGCAAGTCGTCTACGCTGCACTATCAGACCTTCCCTACGAAACCACCGACTTCACGAGGCCCTCGACAGTCGAATTCCCCGCCCAATGGCCCTGCCAGCGGCTCAGAGCCAGACGATCAGCATCATGAGTCACCCCTGCCTAAGAAGCAGCTCATTGTGCTGGCTATTATCGCGCTTGCCGAGCAGACAGCCCTCAACTCAATCAGTCCATATCTGCCAGAGATGACAAAGAGCTTCCCAGAGGTCAAGGAGGGTCAGACAGGGTTGTACGTAGGGCTCATTGCCTCGTCATTCGCTCTGGCGCAGTTCACGACCAACTTCTTCTGGGGCTGGCTGTCAGACAAGATTGGGAGGAAGCCTGTCATCATCACTGGCACCTTCCTGACTATGGTTTCCTTCCTTGCTTTTGGTTTCTGCAAAACCCTCTGGCAGGCTGTTCTCGTACAGGCGCTCATGGGAATAGTCAACGGCAACTCTGGCGTTGTGTCTACCTGTCTCGGCGAGATCACGGACCGCAGCAATCAGTCACGGGCGTTCACATATCTGCCAGTGGTCTATGGCATCGGCGGCATCACTGGACCTATCGTTGGAGGTCTGTTGGTTTTCTACAAAAACCCTCTCGACCAGGGGAAGACCAACCCGTTCCCGTACCTACTGCCGAACCTCTTCTCTGCCCTCGTTCTCGGTATTGATCTCGTAGTATGCATGATCTTCCTCGAGGAGAGTCTGGAGGAAGCGAAAGATCTGCCGCCTCTTGGCAAGAGGATAGGAAACCTCTTTACACGAATGTGGCAGTTCACGAGCTCTACACGGCCTTCATACGTACCACGCTGGCTGAGCAGGCAGAAGAGTCACCACTCGCAACACCTAGATGGCATTGAGGAAGAAGACGAGGATTTGGACGATACATCAGACGCTGGCTCGGACGGAATCGCACCGGCCCTGTTCCCAGATACCAACGGCGAGCTGACTAAGAAGGAGATTCTCAACAGAGATACGATCTTACTTCTGGTTACATACACCATCTTCCAGCTGGCGAACATCTCGTACAACTCCTTGTATCCAATCTTTGCCGAGGAAGTAGAACCGACAGGACGAGGACTGAAGCCTGAGGCTGTTGGGCTGTCATTGTCGTTCGCAGGCGCCATCACGATTGTCTTCCAGGTGGGCATCTTTGGCAAGCTTCGCGGCAAGCTTGGCAACAAGGTCGCATACAGAGCCAGCTTGGCTTTCTTCGTTGTGGCGTTTAGCTTGATGCCCTTTGTGGGCTATAAGAGCAAGCAGGGGAGTGCTTGGTTGTGGTTCGAGCTCGGTGTAGTGTTAGTGATTAAGACGATCGCTGGTGTCGGTGGTTTGACAGCCGCGCTGCTCTTGGTAAGTTGTGTATACAACGCTTACATTGATTGCATCATGTTAACACCCTTCTAGATCACCAACTCAGCCCCGAATCACAATGTACTCGGCACCCTCAACGGGTTGGCCCAGACGCTCTCAGCTGCAGGCCGCGCTGCTGGACCCTTCATCTCGGGGTCGCTTTTCACGGCAGCGACTAAGATCCAACCCAAAGGAGAAGCACTACCCTTCGGCCTCTTTGCAGGTATCTCGTTGCTGGGTTTCCTTTTGAGTTTTGGCATTCGTGGTGAAAACCTCGAGGCTGAAGGATGGAGTGACGAGGATGAAGACGAGGATGAAGAGGAGGAGATCGGTGATGATAGGCAAGACATGAACGAGCGCTCTGGCCTTCTACGCAAGTAGCGTCGCACTGCACTGTACAGACGTGTGTCACATAGATAGGGTTTGCATAGCTTCATCGGCACGATTGAGCGCGGCGTTGGTTGTTTGCAAGTATATAGAGGACGATCTCGGCAAATAGATGCTATATCGCTTCAGGCGAAATATCTTATCCAGACATTCTCGCTACTTCCCACCCCTTGTCTCGATCTTACGGGAGCAGGTCTACAAACGGAAGCGTACTGCCTGATACGGCAGGGTGCTGTGTCGTGGTGGTCCGGGAAAGTGGAACAGAGGCGTAGCGCACACTGAACGGGTAAGAGCAGCTGACAACTCCAGGGCTTTGGTTGGGACGCGGGTCGAATCTGTGATCATCATTACAATTTTTTATGCTTCTGGCGCATGCTTAGCTTCAAGAAGACCCATCTGATGGAGTGCATGAGCCTCCTTACCATTATCGTCATTGGTGAGGGAGTTCTCGATATTGAAGGATGCCTCCTCATCATGTGCATCATTGTCATCCTAGTGAGTCCGCTTTTTGTATACTTAACTTAGAATCGTGGCTTACTTTATCATGCGCGTAGGTCTTCCTTTGGGCACTTTACTTCGACAACTTCCCTCACGGTCACTATGGAGCCACTCGACAACAGATCTGATCCTTGCTTCAATTCCCATTTGAATTGGCTATTGTCTGTTTGGTCGAGGGCTCACAGCAATTACAATGGCACGCTACGTCCTCAAGAACGTTGCTAAGGGTACCATAGATCTGCACAAAATATGCCGGCAACATCTGGACGGGACCAAGCTGCAAGACGCACTCACCAATTAATACCAGTTCACTTCCAAGATTGATACGTGCGGATACTACGAAGAGATCATGTTCCACATCGAGAACATTAGTGACGCTACCGGCATCTGTTCTCAACAGAACACGACTACCTTCGATAGCAGTGCATGGCCCGAGGACTTCTGGTACATCGACAATGCTATTGCAAACAGTGTCTATTCTGGTCTCGGCGTCAGGATGCCAATTAAAATGCTGGAAGCTTTCATCGAGCCCATCGATATCGCGGAGAAGAGCTGGAAGCTTACCTACCTCTACTTCTGGTCCTGTTTCTGGGTCCTCATCATCTCGCTCATCGTTTTCCTGTTCTTGATTCGCCGTCACAAGGTCGATCTCTCTGACTCCGTCTCTATCATCATCCGCTGCCTGGTGCTTGGAGCTGGCGCGGCAGCTCTTGCTGTTCTCGCCAACAAGCAAAGACTTGTTAATCTTCTTAACTTGCCAGCTATCCTTCCAATAGCCGTGGTACTGCTCTTCACTGCCCTCTGCTGCGACAAGCTCGCCTCCCTCTGGTGCAACTGGCGTCTCATCAAGTCCGGCGAGCCATACGCACTCGAGTTCGAGAAGGAGCACCACCACGGCGGTCACGAAGAGTACGGCGAAGTTCACATGACCGGGGATAAAGAGCACGGAAATGTACATCACGGCAGGCCGGAGCTGAAGAGTCATTGCAAGTCGGCTGGCTGGAGTATTCACGCTGATTCTGTTGAGTTGTCCAAGGAGGTCACTGAGTATAGCTCGAGTCATTACAGGGACAGCACTCATGGTATCGAGGGGGTACAGACTACACCTCCGCAGAGCCCGAGTCCGCCGCCAATGACGCCTAGGATGATGTATTTATGATACAGATGAGTGTGGAAAGTGCTTGTCAAGGGAAGTAGGAACCACTACACCAACACGTGATGCATGGGGCATTCTCACCCCATGAACCGTCACATATACGGTGTATCGATAGTAATGGTTTGTTGGCCGATCGAAGTTGTGCTGTTGGTGGTAAGTGTGAGGTACGAGTTTCTATGGGCCGATTATTAAGTGAGATGCTTCAATGACCAGTGAGGTCTAGAACAAACAAAGGTCGGATCTACATGAACTGGGGCTGCTTCTGCTGAGTCGAACCCGTCTTCAACAATTGGGCCAAACAAGGCTGATAGCACAGCATAATATGTAACTGCATGAGCAGTGTCGGTCGGAGGCTGTGGTCAATGATTGAATTACTATCTGTGTTGTCCGATGGTGTTTTTGTACAGGAGCTCTCGGCTCAGAGGTAAGTGCACTTGCCTTCGGGCAGTGCCTTCCTCAATAGAATATCATGTGACTTAGGCCACGTAGTTACATAATATAGCTGCGAACACGCCCACTATAGCCAGGATAGCTTCAGTCGATAGATTTCTGGTAGAGGAAAGATATTGGTCTTGTTCCGAAGACGTCACTAGGTGTACAGACCGTAACTATCGCTGAACAACGAGCACCTTTCTCTACGCTTCGACATCGACCCACAAACGCCTTTGGAAAGAGCCGCATTCACAATGCTTATAAATCCACACCACCTACACGAAATTCGACTCAGTCGGCACGAACATAGTAGTGATGGTGATGGCTACCATGCTGCTATGAACTGGGACCATGTTGGGCCGGTGGACTTGGGTGGCAAGAAGATGTGTTGATCGGGCACCTTGGTGTTGAATTGCTGTCGAAGCCAGCAAGGCTGGAGAGGTGATGGAACATGCAGACCTGCTTGCAGCGGCATGAATCCTTCTCAGTGTCAGGCGTCTTCGACAGCTTGGCCATACGAGACCAATCGCACAACAGAGTAGTGCCACAAAGACACTGATCAGACCCAGTATCGCCTCTATCGACCAATTGTTTGTTGTTTCAGTGTCTTGAATTTGTGTCGGCTTCGTAGTAGGGAGGGCGTGCGCGCGATATGCTAGTAGGAGAACGCAGAGTAAGGCTGGAGGGATGATCATTTTGAAACGGTATCGTGGTATACGTTTGGCGAAGTCTCCCAGAGAGCGCGAGGGCTAGTTTGGTGCTCGTGAATAATAACTTGCGTTGTGTACAATTTCGTTGCGACCGTCGGTGACGGCCACTCGAGAGACAGCCGGTGAAGAAGCAGCTGTTGCAAGTAGAGTATCTGGAACCAAAAGGTCTAATGCGCAGTACTCTTACGAGAATTGATAAAAAATGGATTACGTGCTTGGATTGAGCTGAGGTTGAGAAAGTCAACACTCGGGAAAGAGCTAATGGACCACTCCTAAACGATGGGTTGTTGGCTGAAGCCAAAATGGAAAGAAATCAAGTTGCAGTAGCGGATTTGGAAATGTAGTGTCCTTAATCAGACCGGAGAGAAAGGCCGCATGCTTGACTTTGGTCAGACTTGAAGAAAGGTTTGGCGGTTTCTTCCAGCTGATTTTACATTGTATATAGCCCATGACGACTCGAGGTTGTTCAGAGGTACTAAGCACTCTTGCACTGCCCTCTTGCCAAGGGCCCAGTCCCAGTTTGGCTGGCTCCCAGCTAACCGCCCAAAAAGGGCCCCAGCTATCGAGTTAGCTGCACACTTCTGCTCTTAGCTCCTCGCATCGGCACTCTAAGCAGCAAACCCCAGACTTTTGTTTCAAGTCAAGCCGTTGCTGAGACTCGCTAAGCTTTTGTTGCTTCTACAAGTCAGCAAAACTGACGAGTAAAAACCGGGTGCTTGTTGCTCAGTTATCTAATCTCCTGGCAGTTATCTCTGTGCCACTACAGGTCGGCTTCCCTTCTGTCGCCCGCAAGCTTGGTTTGTTCGCGTGCGCTCAAAGAAATGGTGGTTCTCCGGGCACTCTCATGTGTAGAGAGGTAGGTTCTGCTGACAGATAGATGTCTGAAGTCGCCGAGCCGTAAACATGATCAAAGCAGTCCACAGGTTCGAGGTACATCCGTCCAAGCCAAGGGCATATAACTTGCAGCTATTCGGGTCTATAAGTGCAGTCGTGACTGCGCAAGGCTGCGGAGCCAGAATAGCAGTCTCTGTCGGTCATCCGGATGAGATCAAGACATGCGCCGTGTCATGGCGTCATAGCATATCTCGCAAATTCAAGAGCACGATAACTACTGCTGAAGAACCAGCGATGTTCACTGTTGATTACTGCCAGCACGGCTCGAGTGATGCTTGACCCCACAACACGTTAGCGGGGTGTATGCAATCAACGGTGAAGCTGGAAGCAAGCTGCTGTCCGCACGGCTGTTGTGTGGCCACCAACATCCAGAACACGCGAAGCCAAGGCAGACGTCACCCTCCGATGATTGCCAAGAATGCAAGGAAATGACCCGCTCCGCGTTGAGCTTCAATGAGCATTCTTTCATAGGCCGAGAAGGCTCAAGCCCATCAACTTCCTTCGAGTGTTCTCAATCGGTACCGGTCAATTCCAGAGAGTGCTGTCAGCCAGGCACCTCCACTCCAGCTCTTGTGCACCATTCCAGATTAGGCCTTAGTGCTCACAGTATATAACGAGCCTTGGGCGTGAACGACCAAAGACGTGTGTACGTGCAAGCTCACATGTATCCTAACCTTGTAATAGGCAAGCAATAGTCTAAAGGCAGCAAGAAGGAGAAGAAGACAGCCTCTGTTTGTTTTACGGATCTGATGTTGTATAGAAGGCTGCGTTCTTCTCCTTATTGCTGCGCTTCGTCACCTTTCTAGGGTTATTGTTGCCTACTTCATGGTTGTTGTCTCCTTCGTGGCTGTTGTCTTCGTGATTGCGTGGCTGTCTCTTCTCCTTCCTTCACCAGCCCATGCGATCAGTGACATCTTGGCGCCAATGAACGCAATTGGTGTTCCCTTCGTGCGCTTCGCATTCGACCAATAGATTCTCCCGCTCATCTGCCATATCATGCGGATACATTGCTTGCTTCGTCACTTCGTTCCTCAGCTACGCAATAAATCAGTTAGCAGCCACCTCAATACATCACAATTCTGATCACATTCTCCCCATTAACAAGCGCCACCAGAACATCAAAGTGTGGACCTCTCATATGGACCGTAGAAGCCTGCAACTCTTGTTGGGGACCATTACCAGCTTTGTGCGAGTTCAATCCTTGTCTCTACAGCGATAGCACTAGATGTAACATACCCTTTTGAAATTGCCAACCATACCTAGGTAACGTGTACAAGGCTAAGCGTGCCTCGTTCAATGAGTGAACACAACATCACGAAAAATCGTCATCCAAAGTATGATTACAATCCTCCAGGATCTCCCAAATGTATCTGGCTGTCGATTTTTTCCTACCGATGTGCGCAATGACATGTTCTACTTCCCAAACCACACATTTTCAAATTCCCTTGACTTTGATTTGCACTTCAGACGTAGCCCCTCCAGCTTCTCCGTGGCGTGCTTCGACAGGTGCGGGCAGGCACAGGCCTCGATGCCCTTGGTTTGAGTATGAGTGCAATTCTCGAGGGGTATGCCGGTAATGAAGATGTGGGCGCAGCAGCCAAAGTAGAGACAGACTTCCTCAGTGCACATTGCTGATGTTTGTGGCTGCAGTGCTTCCTTTCCAGGGCAACAATGTAAAGAAAGATGTATACTGGGTACGGGAGTGACAATGGTGAAAGATACTACTCAATTCTGTTTGGTGTCTTGGTTGATTATCCCATTCACAAAGTGTGAGTTGAGACCGAGTGTGATCGAAAAGCATTGAAACACTGAATGTCAAACTATTCAAATATGACCTGTTGGCAAGAAAGAGACAAAACCTCGCTGCTATGCATTACAAATATGATGTACTCAAATCTCCCAAACCAAACCATATAGATACAATTGGTATAATGCTTTCAAGATAACGTGCTTCTGCCCTCGTAGTCGACAGGGCCCCCTTGCTAGCTTGGAATCGATGTCCATCGTCTTGTAGGATGTGCAGTGCTGCTTGTCGACCCAGAGCTCTGTAAAAGGTATAGGGTCTAATGGCGGTCGTTATTTGATGAAGTGGGCACATGGTACAGAGCACACGGATGATGCTGCTGAGTACGTGCTTCGTCGAAGATTGATAGGTATCCGGAAAGCGGTCTTTGTAGGGATACTGTGTTGTCCAACTACTTCGTTGTTCCTTCCTCCCTCCTTTTACTTGGTAAGCAGCGCCTATCGTAGAACCTGTCTCCACATGCAATCTCTGCACACTCCTTGGCTCCTGTCAATAACCTCATGGTCCCTTTGAGTTTCGGGACAGGCAAATCCAAGGCGTTCTTCTTCGGCCTGTCTGCAGATTCGCAGAATCTCTCCGCTGGGTCTTTGAGGCTGGGGGATCCAGTGTTGGCAGGTGTAGACGATGTAATGTATTGTGCACATGTTGAGTAGCTCGAATGGTCCAAGTGGCTGAGCTTGGTACTTGTGGTAGGAAACGTGAAAGTTGAAGAGGTATAGTGGTTTGGAATGGTGAAAGCAAGAAGGCGGCGTCTGGATGCAGAGTGTGCTGAGTAAATGATGAGAGCCTATGCAGCGGACGGGCTGGCTACAGATACAAATAGGCGGTGGAAGCAAGTACAGGAAGTCTGCAGCCTTCAAGTCATATGATGTTAAATATGAAGGTATGCAAAAAGCCCTATCAGAAAGAGCAACCTTGGAACGCACCGACATGTAGCACAGAGCGCTCCCTCATTGAGGAACCCGTCATCCCCACCCTTACCGCTGACCTCGCATATCCCTTCTCTTGCAAAGCCATTCACGAGAATACTATAGGACGGGCGAACTAGGAAGAGTGGCTTGCTCAAACAGGATTCTGACTGGGATGAGGGACGACCCAATGCAGTGGTCGTTTCTTCTCGAATGGTCAGCAGTCGCAAAGGCAGCAACACAACCGATCGCAGAGCTCGCCGCCACCGTTAGTAGCATAAGGAGATGAGAATTCTCCTTCGAGTCGACCAGCAGGCATGTTGCACAGGAGAATCTTGTGGGGTCCAGTGACGCAGGCACAGGGCGAACCTAAAGGTCCGAGGTGGCCACGATCGATCCGCGCTAGTCAAATTCTGTCCAGCCTGCAGCCAACACCAACACCAGGCCACTGCAAGTCGCCCGCGCCCACGAGGCTTGCCGTACCCACATATGCGGCCATCATCAGACCAAGGTTCGGCTCGTCACAACTAAGCAACGAATATGCACCAAGCCGTGAGAAAAGCTAGGGGCGCCCGTTTCCCGCGGATCGCAAGGCTAGCTGTTCAACGTCGATCGACAGCTAGTTATAAGACCGTTACACCCCCGGTAGCATTCCAACGCACCTCAACGTACCATGGAGTTGGAACAGCTAGATGTAGTTGGAGGTGCATAAACAAAGCGATCTTGGTCCGATGTAAGGCCGCATTCATACTCGACCGATCCGTTTCCTGAAAGCAAGGCTCTCGCAACAGGGGGAAGAGCGGTCAGGAATCCGACATACTGGTCAACGATATTGACGTGCATACTCAAAGTTTGACTCGGTTCGATTGGCCTGAAATGCCATCTGCGAGGGGTGCTCGATTCGTACGATGTTGGTGCAGAGTTGCACTTGACGGGTTCTGCTCGAAGGAGCGTATCATTTGTCACTGCAATACAACGTATCATTCCACCACACGATGGTGTCGCAACGCTCACCGCTACGGACACCTCGAATCGAAATGATGGAGAGTACCTGAATGCTCAGCAAGCATGGCCTTTTGCTTGTCGATGCCGCCAGCTTGGAAACTGTCTTATGACCTGATCACAACAGCAGCTTTAGTATTCGGTAATCGAGACTTCTCAGCGCTACTACCAGGGACGGCAGAATATTGTGACCTTTTGGGAGTTTGAATCAAGTTCAACAAGGCAAAAGTGGTACCAGACGTACTCATTGCAGAAGTCTTGCGAGACATAGCTTCCAAGCTTACGGAGCTTAGATTTGCAGGTATCGGGCGCTAGGGCCCAAGAGATCTGCTGCGGACGATCTGTGTACCACCCTCAACTGATCTGACAGTACGCACCTCATCTCCATGAAGGGGGAGTGCATCTCGGCAACCATCACGGTACTTTCCTGCTACCCAAGAATGTGGTACATTGTCTTAGGTCACACGGCCAGATATTAACATTAGCTTCATCTCCACATTTGACGCAAGACTACATCACCAGCATATGGCACGACGACAAGGCGTCTCAATTCTCGTCGCCCAAGTTTCACTTTTACCGCCTTCCTTTGACGGCGCTATCACATTCACCAACTGACGTCTCCAATCGGACCCCCAGTCTTTCGACTTGACTCGTACATAATCTCTCTCCCTTGTTACCATCATTTCAAGCCTTCGAGACTAGAGTTCTTGGCGAGATGTCATACCCAGCAGTATGGTCACGTTAGCAAAAGTACAATATGGTAACATTGTCTCAGTTCCTAGCACCACATAACAATTTCAGGTATTCCATACCTACCATCTGAAGCTCATCGAAACAATCGCAAAACAGCAACACAACTCAATGACCATTGCTAAATCATTCCGAGCACCATGTTCAAGCCGTTCAGCGCTTTAACCCACAAGCCCAGGTATGCGATGTTATCCAACGCATTCGGCCGCACCACAGCATGAACCCCCCGAGTCGTTAAAAGGCTTTCTCTTAAAAGATCTCAGCCTCAGGTCTTTCATTATAAGGTATCTTTCGAGATGTCATTTCTAATATGATGGTCCCGTCGGCAGAAATAGACCAATCCTTCACTGTGCCCCTCTCGGCTACCACTCAAAATAGCCAGATGCCAGACCACCCGTCCATTAATTATCCCGACGTCATGTTGAGACTATAATTATTTGTGCGATCAATACGCACTATGGTGGCACGCGGAAGTCGCCAGCAAATTTTAGGCATGACGAAGGCTATACGAACGTTGCAGAAAACCATCACTCAGCGCAAATAGTTGCACGCTTTGCCAACGGACAAGGGCTGTGGGGATCTTGTTGGTTTCAGCCGCTTTCATCTCATGCCTAAATAGATTGTTTCTTTGTGTCTTGCTTGTTGCAGGTGCCTATATTAGTAACACCTCATCGCTCGTAGATAGCATCCAAGAATTCATCTCATCTGAAGTTCACATCATAGATCAAGAGATCGGGCCCATCTGTGGGTGTGAAACCGGACAGAGTGGAAAGCAACGCTCAAAATCTACTCGCACCTCACGCACACAATTCCTCGGCATCGTTTGTTCACAAATCGATACCTTCGCATCTAGCACTGACGAAGCTTAGTCAAAAATAGATTCAAATACCAAGAATGATGGAGAGACAAGGTCGATTGAAGCATTGAATCCGATAATGTAGCCTCGAATCCTACGTAGAATACGAACAACTCCTTTCCATCAAGGATGTCACATACTCACTGCCGCACCACCGTCTGCGCTCTCAACCCTACAGCGCGAAACGCTGTGACATGGCTCCCATACGAGCACCTATGCCTCTAACAGTGACCTTTGGATACAGTCACCCGCGTCGTGGCCTGAAGCCTTCAGGCTCATGTCCCGCTGCTTCGCCGCCACTTGTGCACACCGAAGAGGCATGCAGAGCTCTTCTGTTGCTCCGTCTCGCGGCATATCATGTATGTCAGGCCCAGTCGGGAACCAGCCGGCGGGCATGTCAGCGGAGAAGTCGAGTCAGCGTCGTGCGTTTCCGATGCAAGATCGCGTCGTACGGGCATTGTCACGATGGCTGGCGAGACAGGGCGGTTGCACCGCGATTCGCTGCAGATTACAACACCATCCAAGACCCACATATGCGCGTGGCTGGGGCTGTAGAGAGCGCAGAGGAAGGCGCAGACCAGGTTCGGTCGAAAGTCGCAAGCACCAAGACTTATCTGCTCTTCACTCGTTGGATTGAGAAGCAACCGCGGCGGAGTAACGCCAGATGTCTTCGTAGTCTGTACTTGAATGAGTGCTGCCGCTGCGATACGCCGAAAATGCTACCATGTATATATGCTTGCTTGCAAACGATGTCGTCGACCCAAATGTTATCACTTATTCCAACAGCCCCTCGCCTCCAAGACCGCCTGTCAAGCCCTTCATCCGCCTTCCCAACAGATCATCTTCGCTTGCCAGACTAACCAGTGACTTTCTCCTGCCCTTTTCGATTTTCCTTACCCTCCCTCTGCCGCGTGTCGTACGTTCACTTGCGCCTTCCACCCTATTTGCATGCTCTTGGGGCGGCGTAAGCTTCGTCTTGTTCTTCGGCAGGACCGTCATCTCCAACGGCCTGTCTTCGTCTGCCGACGAGGCAGTCCCAGAACGGTAGTGGTGCCTCGTCCTTCTCGCACTCGGACTCCTCAACCCATCGACCGCTTCCGCCAAACCCGGCGTCGCCCCACTGCCAAAGTAATCATCCCGACTTCTCAGCCACGGCGTGACCGCCGTACTAGGCCCCGTGCTATCGAGGGCCTCGCGACCCTCAGCCGCAGCGAAGGCCTTGTCGATCCACTTAGCGCAGCGGTAGATGTACTTCCAGCCGTCTGGGAAGACGCCGACGAACTGCAGAAAGCCGTGGGAGATGCCGGGGACGAGGTCGACGTTTACCCAGTCTTCTTCTCTGAACTCGCCGCGTGCCCAGTCCAGGCCTAGTTCTTTTCCTGTGGTGAACTCGGCGCGTTTTGCTTGTCGAAGTCGCCCTGCGAAGATGACGGTATCGTCGACAAGCGGGTCTCGTTCGCCGGTTAGCATCCAGGTCCGGGGGAACTTTGCTAGAAGCGACTCCGGGGCCAGGAGCGGTGAGAGCAGGAAGTCGGTGCTGAAGTCCGGGCGGTGGTGAGGACCAATATATAGAATGATCATGGCGCGCATCATCTCTGGGGTCAGGATGCGGTCGTTGAAGTACGAAATCATCGACGACGTCGCAAGGCGAGTTTTGATAGCGGTCGCGGGTGGCGCTGGGCCGGCAGCCGGTTTTTGGAAGACACGGGGTGTTTCGGGAGAGCTGCGGGTTGCTACTGGCGACATTTGGTCGGGAGTCGCGACGGGGTGGCCATTGGCAAGGTCGGAGTCGATGTTGGGAAGGGCGGTGGTGTCCTTATTGGTGTGTGCAGCGCTGAGCTTGATCATAGTTTGGGGTGAAGTCAGCACGCGTTCGCTGGTTGGCGTATTGCCATTGACCATGCGTGCTCTTGGTTCCTCGTCTTCGCTACCAGAGCCATCGGAGCCGTAGGGGGTATTGGGCGCGAGGTGACGGTAGTCATCGCTCTTGTGTCGGAGGATGGGCCTGTTGGTCTTTCGTACTCTTCGGTCGCGGATGAGCGCCATCTGCTCGTCTGTCATCCAGTTTCCAATGTTCATATCGAGTGCGGGGTAGACCAGCATGCAGCCGACTGGCGGTGGTAGCTCAAGCTCGCCCTGCCACCGCCGCGTCGCAGTCGAACCGCTCTGTAGGATCATGAGGACCATGGCCACAGCCAGATTGCCTCCCGCCGAGTCACCAGATACCACGATTTTCGGCTCCTGCTCGCCGGAGAGCCCCATGCATCTTCCTCTCGTGGCAACGATTGTGTGGTAAACATCGTAGCACTCGTTCAGCGCATACGGATACGGCCACTCGGGCGCCTTCCTGTAGTCCAGACTCAACACCGGCAGCCCCGTCTTCCCCGCCCAGCCCATAAGCTTATCGTCGTGGTTCCGCGGATCCATGGCCACAAAGCCACCGCCCGGAATGTCCAAGACAATCTTATCATGCTTCTTCAGCGCACTGATGGGACCATTGAAGTACAGCCATCCGACAACCGGCTCCTTGTAGCTGCCTCCCTTCGGCCTCGGTATTCTGATCTTGCGCGGCGGATACCACATCAGCCTCGGGCGCATGAGGTTCGTCAGCGCAGCCAGATACGGCGTCGTCCCCTTGTTCCACGCAACACGCAGATGGTCAACCGTCAGCGTCGCCCTGATCTTCCTGACCTTCTCATCCGCCTGCTCCGCGCATATCAGATAGTACACGCTGAACACCATGGACAAAAAATCCCGCAGTCCCTTGCGCTTTACCTTCATAGCCGACCAGAACCCCGCGTCGAGGGCTGTGGTGACCCATGTTGCACGGAAGTAGGAGCGCGAATAGAGCGAGGCGAGCGGCTCGGGGCATTCGAGGCCGACGAGCTTGCCGAAATTGCGGGCGACGTAGAGGTAGAGCAGCGTGACGAGGACGCTCTGCCACACGGTGAGCTTGGAGGAGAGGAGCGACGAGATGCGGCGGAGGAGCGGCGGCCCGTGGCGGTCGCCGCTGTGGGAGTGTTAGCTGTGGTATGTGAGGCGCGGGAGGGAAGGAGCGTGCCTATAGAGGTAGAAAGACCAGAAGGAGACGACGGCAAGCACTTGGATCTTTCTAAACTGGACCGACGGGCGACCCAGGACGTGGTCTATCATAGTCGCCGTCTCTTATTGCTCCCTTCTGTCCTTGTTGCTTGTCTTTGTTCCCCCGCAGTGTTGTCCGTTCAGCGCTGTCGCGTCCAGACGTCATGAATGCAGAGTCGCAGCAATCCCTCACACTCGAAACATCGCCTAGACAGTCACAAGAGCATTCATACACGGTGGAAGTCGACGAGGTCGTCGTGTCGAAAAGACAGCCTAGCCAGCCATAGTCGCCCATCGTCCATTTACCCACAACAAGCGCGTCGTCTTAGCTCCATCCGGGCTGTGGTTGGTCTAAAGCACGCATGTGACAACGGTGAAAGAGCTCCGGCGTGCCATGTGAGACCGCATGTGAAGGCGCTATGATGTCGCCCCGGCTTTGTTGCTCTCGGGGTCCGGAGCCGAGCGGATCCTTACATAAGCGCGGCTGGTGTGCGGCGGTGCAGCCTGTGCCACCCGCCAATAGCGCTGCGTCGATTTGAGGACGAAGACGGCCTTGCGAGCGCGGACGCAAGGGAGAGGCAAGGGGCTGGTTGTGCGACACTGCTCCTTTGTGTTGTGAGGCTGGGGCGTCGCGCAAGCGAGCGCACATGAGCGCAGCCACAGCCTTCTCCATTGTCTTCTGAACGGGTCATGTCAGCCACAGGAAAGGCACGACTACGCTCTTGGCATTCAACAGAAGCCTACGAAGACTGACAAATCTCTAGCGGAAAGCATTCGCCGTCCGGTGGAGGAAGCTAGACGTCCTACAAATGGACGGCGGCTAACAATAGGTGTGCGCGATTCTGCAGAGGCTGTACGGTACGTCTCACTGGTCTCCATTGCCTGCGAATGGACATGCTTTGTTAACAGACATGCAGAATCTTGGCTATCATTGCAACGCCTACAGTAACGATAGCATATCGCTCAACAAGGTCGTCCTCTTTTGTTGGACAGGTGAGGACAGTCCAAGAAGAGCTACATGCTGTTAAGCCTAGAGGATACTTGCTCTACGCGGAGTGGTTGAGAATTTGGGGTTACGTTAGCGTGTATCTCGAGATTGCCTTCGTCCTCTACAAGTCAACAAACGAAGGTCGATGCTGATGCTCATGATCCATTAACGCCAGTGGTATAGCCCGTGCTCCCCACTTTCCTATCCAACGTATGTACTGCAAGTAGTAGCCTTGTGTATCCACTACTTCCAACATAATCTCCACACAAGAATTGAAAGGGAAGCACCACCCGACGCCAGCCACCCCTATCACCGCCGAGAAAGCTGTCCACCCGAACCTCATTCGCAACAGTCCCACACTAACCTTACGCCTGCTTGCTCGCACCAATCCCCCTAACCCACTCGCTAACCTCAAACCCCACCCTCCTCAAACTCGCATCCGCAAACGCCTTCCCCTGCGCCTTCAACACCGTCAAACAGCGAACCTGATCATCCAGCTCCACCATCTTGCCTGGCGGCGCCTCCTTAGCATCATAGCTCTTGACATACAGCGTGAGATCCGGGCCCACGGTGCCGCGCCACAGTGTCGCCATCCACTGCCAGTGATCTGTAGGACTGTACGCGTCCTGAATTGGGATACGGGAGGCGTAGGCGACGGAGGCGTGGAGCTGGAAGGTTGGCAGGATGACGATGGGCTTCTTGCTTGCGGCTAAGGAGGTGAGGGTTGACATGGTTAGGCTGGGGGACGCGGATTTGCGCGGAGAGTCTGGGGGCGTGGCAGAGTCTTTGCGGTTGGTAGTGTCCGTTTCCTCGTCCTTGGATGAGAGGGAGTCGGAGTGCGTGATAGGTGTGGTGATGTAGCGCGTCATTTCTTTGGATTTTCCGTGCCAATCCTTGATCAGGTCGAGGTACTCTTCGAAGGTCGCCTCCTTATTGTCGGCGGGGGCTTTTGGGGGTTCGGCAATGTGGGAACTGTATTTTCCGTCTTTGCCGAGGAAGTCGTTCAGCCATTCCGTGAGATCTTGGACAGCTTTCAGGTCGTCACCTTCGACAGCGATGATAGCTCCTCGGGCCTGTACAGCAGGGCTCCTCGGGCCGGGATCCTTTAGCGGGGCACAGATACGACCGAGCAGCCTGATCCTGGCTTGGTAGGGGACGCTAAGTACCATTGCTTCGACGCTTCTGCTCTGGTCATGGTGTTGAGGAACAACAATGTTGATGTCAGAAGCAGACGAGCTGTTGCGCGGCAGCTCGTGTTGAGTCATGCGTACCTCACGAGGAGTCCGGGCGGAGGGAGGGTGCATGCTAGCTGTGTTTGGGGGTGACACGCGCACGTGGATGGGCGGCAGTGACTCGCGACGGGCCGCACTCTGAGGGTAACAAGGCCCTTCAGGCCTATGAGCAGATGGAGGTGGTTCATAGTCATATCGACGTCTCTTTTGTCCTGGTGTAAGAGGGCTATACATCTCTTGTTCATGGATAGAAGGAGGAACCTGAATGTTACTGAGTCTTGACTGGCCTGGTCCGCGACGAGCAACAACTGGCGAATCTAGCGAAAGGCTGCTCATCATGGGCAGGTAGCGTGTGGTCGGTGTGAGACCTTCAGAAGTATTTGGTGGCGGCAAGGTGGATGTGCCTTGAGGTTCGGTAGGGTAGGGGCTAGTGGGTGGCTTGATACTACGACCACCACACCTTGGGTAACGGTATTTATCAACAGTTGTATGCTGGCCGATGGGGTTCAATGGTGGCGATCCAGGTTTACTGATTCGGCGAGGTTGATATCGATAGTCAGGATGCTGTTCGTGATGCCTGGCTTTCTGCTCCTATGTGTCATATTAGTCTACACAGACATGCCGCAAGGGAGGCTCGAAGGCACACTAACCTGAGCAAGGTCCTGCCAAACTTTTTTTTCCTCGTCACTCTCCGCTGTCCACTTCTCACCAATGATTTTCGAAATGTCGGATTGTTCAGACCTGGATTGTTACGGATGATATTTTGCTGATGGTGCTGTCGATAAAAGATAAACGCTACAAAGGAGTCAGCCGCTGACCAAAATTGCGCCGCAAACAAAGAAGTCGAGGTTCTTTGTCCACAAATAGGTGTGTTCGAATTGGGCAGTGCCACCGCCGCAAACAAAGAAGTCGAGGTTCTTTGTCCACAAATAGTTGTGTTCGAATTGGGCAGTGCCACCAACCTCCCTAGGCTACCCAGCCGCCGAGACAGTGAATAAAGGATGACGAACTTACCATTCTTTGGACGGGGAATTTTCAGTTCAGCCTGACAGAGACAGACATGTGGTGAAAGATCCCCAGACCCCGTAGAAACAGCACTTGCCAGAGTCTTTACATCCCTAGCACTCTCGCATTCGACAGATTCTTCTGTATTGTCATCAGCTTCGAGGGATGAATTCCTCTTCCTGCCATCTCGTGGCGAAGTAGGGGTCGGCTGCTCTTCCTCGGTGCGTTGAACGGGGCTTGAGTTTGGCGCAGATTTCGGTATTATCTGGATTCTAGTACTCTCCCTCAGATTGCGGCCAGGCTTTCCGTCTTCTGTTGGAGATTGCAAGTTATCATGGCCAACTTGCATGTTTGACTTGACGTATCTCCTGGGCACTCTGAAGAACGGAGCGACGTGAGGCGGAGGGGATGAGGACCGAATTGGCGGCAATATACAAGTGGCCAACATTTTGCAGAAGACGACGAAGCAGCCGATCTAATGGGTCCCTTTGAGAAAGCTGTTCATTGTAACGTCCCTCACTGTGTGCCGAGAAGGCCGCCGTGGCGAGAAATACGAGTGGTACTTCGACTTCACACACTTCAACCGCTCCGCAACCCTCAGCAGCTGTTGCAGTATCGTATCCATTGTGTGCTGTAGGTATTGCCGAACGCGCCGATATCTTCACGTATGAAAATTACACTCGCGTTGATGCCTTCCGTGCCTATCCTGCGTCGCGCCTTGTTTTGTCGCAGAATGGACTTTCCTCAATCGCAGGCCACCAACAATCACCCTCGGTAATCAAAATACATGCAAGTGCCCTACCTGATCGTAAAGCCCTGCTGCAGTCCTCGCAAGCTAACAGCAGCGCTGTATTGGGTGCTGTGTAAAGGTTCATGTAAGGTTGCCACCCGCATCGGTACTTGTGAGCCGAGCGACTACTAATCCAAGCTAGCGGAGCACGACCCCGCTGGGCTCACATAATCAGCATCGGTAACTCTGTGCATCAGTACTGCAGCTGACTCGTACACGCCGCTCCCCTCCAGGCGGCTGAGCTCCGCTGTGCCAAGGCGAGCGGGACAAGGCTGACGACCATGTGTACAGCGCTACCGTGCTAGGACGATAGCACTGCAATACTAGAAAGACATGACATAATTTTCTATTGTAGATGATTGCTAACTCTAGTCTGCAGCATTTGGAAACTCGTGCATCTACGAGTCCCGCTGCCAGCCTGCTTCATGCCCGCTTCCTTTTCAGAGAGAGGCAGCCATCATTCGTTCAGCGCAGCCGCCTGCCTGCACATGCACCAGCCTGCAGCTGTTTCCGCCCCCAATCACTTCGTATCAAGCGACAGGCGCGCGCTGGCAAGGCTGTGCGGGCACGGGGGACAAGCTTCCTGCGCTATGCCACAGCTGCTGCGCCCACGACAGGACTGATTGCTCCTGTAATGCCTCACGCACTGGCGTCCTGCTGCTCCTACACCTCCATGTCCTCAGGCGTGACGAATGCTGCCTCTTCCGTCTGGTTCAGCCAAGCTCGCACATATGTCCATCTAGCGCGCACGTTGACCTGTCTACCACGCCCATCACCCGCGCGCCGACGCGCTACCCATGGCTCGGCGCCGGCTCGACGCTGCAGCGTACACGGTGGGATGGATATGCGCGCTGCCCGTCGAGCTGGCGGCGGCGCAGGTGGTGCTTGACGAGAAGCATCTGCCTCACGATGGCGTCAGCTCAGCCCAGTACACGCTGGGCCGCATAGGTAGCCACAACGTCGTCCTGGCATGCCTGCCGGCTGGCCAGATGGGCATCGGCGCTGCTGCGTTCAGCGCGGGGCAAGCCACGTCCATCTTCACGTCGATCCGCTTCGGACTGATGGTAGGCGTCGGCGGCGGAGCGCCGAGCGCCGAGGCAGACGTGCGACTAGGAGACGTCGTGGTCAGTCAGCCGGTCCAGCAGCACGGCGGAGTGGTGCAGTATGACTTTGGCAAGACGGGACCGGGCGGACGCATGACGCGGACCGGATCGCTGAACGCGCCGCCCAAGGCGCTGCTCCACGCCGTCACTCAGTTGAGGGCGTACCGTTATCAGGACAGGCAGGATAGAGGTTCTCTTGCAACGCATCTGTCAGCCTTTGATCAACACCCATACTTCAGCTGCGAGGAAGCCGGGCCTGACGTTCTGTTCAAGGCGACATACCACCATGATGGTGGAGCGACGTGCGAGCGTTGCAGCAAGGACCATGTCGTACACCGGACGACACGAAGAGCTGACGAGGAAGTGACCATCCACTACGGCACGATAGCGTCAGGCAACCAGGTGATCAAGGATGGAGCCACGCGCGACCGGCTGAGCGAAGAGCTGGACGGGGTGCTGTGCTTCGAGATGGAAGCAGCGGGCCTGATGAACGACTTCCCGTGCCTGGTGGTGCGAGGCATCTGCGACTACGCCGACTCGCACAAGAACAAGGCGTGGCAGCCGTATGCAGCAGCGACGGCAGCAGCGTGTGCAAAAGCGATCTTGTCACTCATCCCCGCGGCAGAGGTGGTGAAGACCGCAGCAGTAGGAGAAGCTTGCAAGTACCGCGTCCCCTTCAACCTTAAGGGTGTACCTGTGGGGAAGTTTGCAGAGCGGGCGAGAGATACGGAAGAGCTAGAGCAGGCGCTCCTGCAGCAAGACGGCATGAAAGAACGGCGGTTGCTGGCAGTCTACGGACTGGGCGGCGTGGGCAAGACGCAGCTGGCGGCCAACTTTGCCCGGCGATACCAGCACAGCTTCTCGTCAGTGCTGTGGCTAGACGGGAGCAGCGAGAGCAGCCTCAAGCAGAGCTTTGCGGCGTTTGCGAGCCGCATCCCCGCAGGCCAGATCCCCGAGGCCAGCAGGCTGTATGCCACCGACCAGGGCGGCGACGTCGACGCGGTGGTGAGAGATGTGCTGGGCTGGCTGAGCATAGCGGACAACAGCGATTGGCTGCTGGTGGTCGACAACGTTGATCGAGACGATCGACAGCGCAAAGAAGACACGGAGGCGTACAACGTGGAAGAGTACCTGCCGGAGGCCGACCATGGATCGGTGCTGATCACAACCCGTCTTTGGCATCTGGGCCAGCTCGGAGAGCGGTGGGAAGTGAGAAAGGTGGATAAGGAGCAGGCGCAGGCCATCTTCAAGATGTGGTACGGGAGGGGCGTGGGTGAGCATCTTGGAGTGTAGCTGCAGCGGCGGCTGTGGCCACGAGCGATACAGCGATGCTAACCATCACAGGCCAAGAGGCTGACGAGCTGCTGGGGCTGCTCGACGGGCTGCCGCTGGCCCTGGCGCAGGCTGCTGCGTACATGAGCGAGACAGGCACGAGCTTCAGCATCTACACTCGGCTGTACAAAGAGCAGTGGCGGCAGTTGATGGAGCCGCACGACGGCAGGCGCATGCCGCTGCGGAGCTACACGAACGGCAGCATAGCGACAACCTGGACAATATCGTACACGGCTGTCCGGGCAAGGAACAAGGCTGCCGCGAACCTGCTGCTTCTGTGGGCGCATGTGGACAACAAGGGCCTGTGGCATGAGCTGCTTGCCTCTGCATCGTGGAAGTCGGTTGTGGCTGCAGAGCGAACAGCAGCATGGCTTGGAGAGATGGGACGCAGCGAGGTGGAGTTTATCGAGGCTGTCAGGACGCTTCGGAGCTATTCACTGGTAGAAGAGGCGGGAGACCAGACAGGCTACTCGACGCACCCGGTGGTGCACCAATGGGCGCTGTACATGCAAGACGACGGGCAACGAACCGCGCTATCGTGGCTGGCAACTGTGCTTGTTGGGTTAGCGGTGCCGGGGAGTGACGAGAAGAAGTACTGCGAGACGCAAGCGCGACTTGTTCCGCACGCCGAGCGGCGCGAGAAGAGCGTAGTAAGAGAGGACAAGACGGACCAGAGGGCAAAGGATAGAGCTAGTGAGCAGGAGGAGGATGAGCAGACACTGCTGTGGGCAGTCCACAACTTAGGCAATCTTTACAGGGACCAGGGAAAGCTGGACAAGGCAGAGACGATGTACACACAGGCACTGGAAGGCTACAAGAAGGCGCTAGGCGAAGACCACACGTCGAC